CACCACACAGACAGTAAAGGCAGGCGCTGGCGATCAGTAAGAAAACATACTTGATCAAGGTATAACTGAAAATACAGGGACTAAAAGTATCAAGACTTTCTCAGCGTACAGCGATGCCCCTTTTTTCCGCACCCTTTATCTGTAGAGAGGGGGTGAAACAAGAGAAAAACGCAGACTTCTAGTCAGAACTAGCCAAAAGACAAGGTACGTGGCAAGGCGGCCTTGCGGTATATAAAGGATTGTATGCTTACGATAGCTTCAGTTCGGACATAGACGTCCTGGATTGGACGTAAGGTAGGAGGTCCAATGTTTGAGGACAGCCACACCCGGAATGCACCGTCAAAGATAAGTTATCGAGACGGAAAGGGGCCCAAATCAAAACCTAGTCTTACGCAGATTGCATACTAGTAATTTACTATGCAAAAACAGTGTTTTACGCCTAAATATAAGCCCAGACTGCTTGGGGATAACTCCGATAAAGCTAAACGTACCGTCGGCCTTGTCAACCCACCAACCCACTCGCATACGCCTGCGCACGGCATTGCGCCGGCGCCGCCACCCCTCGGAGTCGTCGATCAGCGTGGCCACGACGACCATGGTCACGAGCAGCACACTCACAAACAGCCTCATGGTGTCACTAAGCTTCGTCTGGCGTACGGGAGAGAGGGAAATCAGTCAAGTCAATGACAAGTCAATGCCTTCATTTTGCTTCGAAAGGTCGAAGTGGCGGGGCAGCGGCCACGGACAAGTAAACATAAGAACTTTTTACATGTACTTATATCTAGTAAGCATCCATACTGTCATAAATAATAGGAACAATCTTTCCTGATCTTTTGCACTACAAAAAAATCTGTGAAATGGATAGAGTTAGAAGTCATCTGGAGTAAGACTTTTGTGAGCGTCTTGTTCAGAAAAACAGTTTTTTCCATGTCTGCTCTCGCATTAGCAGCAGGACTGCCTTAAGACAGAACGCTGTCAGAGTTTTGCGCTGAGGAAAGAATTAACTTCACATTTAACTCTCTGTCTGTCCCTGATCATAGCAATTTTGCAATCTCCCCCCTGGAAGACACTGTTCCAAAGTTCAACCGCTGTTGGTACAAAAATTCTCCTATGGTTGACAGTTATCGTGATAAAACTAAAAGCTTCACCATAGATAAGTTGGCAAAAACTGCGCCAGTACCTTTTGAATCCTCGGTCTGGTAGATCAGGGAGAGACTTGCGTCTTCAGAGATCGGTGAAGTGGTGGTATGAAGAGCGTGGTTGGGAACGGGTCTTTACACACTCTGACGCACACGTGCACTGCAATTTTGTGCAATTATCATTAAAATATAACCATTGATTGGTCAATTATCTGTTGTGACCAGTCCCTGACCAAGGCCGTGTCTATGGCCGTGTCTATACGGAATCACCCAAACCGCGACACGGCCTATACGGAATCACCCAAGGCGGTTTACATGTGGTTTACCCCGAAGCCGGTTTCAAGTGGCTCCATGTGAACGCCCCGAAATCACATTGAAAGCGCCTCGATCCCAAGCCACTTCTAGAGGTGGTTTCGAATCGGTTTCCCCGCATCGCGATTTGCGTCTGAACGCAATGTGATTTCAATGTAACTTCGCCTGGTCATGGATTACGGGGTGATATTTCTTTTTTTATATGCAATACCAACTTTTACGTGGCAGCAACTTAAAGAGCAGTAATGGTCAAATAATGTGTCCGTTCTAGGGCGAGCTTCACCGCCTCTGGCGGGACCACGTCGGCATTCGGCCGAGATACGCTGGGAGGGGGGCACCAGCAAGCAGGTCGTTGACCTCTGACATTAATAACACGCCACCTTGCGTGTTATCATCAAACAGCAATAAATGTAGCTCAAGCGTATTGTGTTCGGACACGGTTTCACAGGTGTGTGTGGCACGTGGACCAGATGTGAGGAATGTGAGTTACCCGAATCGCGGTTTGGGTGATTCCGTATAGACACGGCCCAATTTTCCAACCAATCACTGGCCGTGGATGATAGGGTTGGTGGATTTGGGGGTCTGCATACTTGCAGGTGTAGCAGGTTAGTAAGCGGTGACAACAAGATTACAGATATTTCTTCGTCTTTATGTCGTCGTGCCGACGAGAAATTAACAACATCAAACAAACATGGACATCATGGCCCGTCAGCCGGTTATTAATTATCGCTCCAAATTAAATCTCTGGCAAAGTTTGCAAACAAAATGGTCCAGTACTAGTACTACACTATCCAACCCTTAAAAAATTATGTGTGATGTACCAAGAAAGTTTATAAAAGAAGAAGAAGTCAAGGTACACAATCAACGACCACCTGTGAGATCGTTGTTTACCACTACTGATGAGGCAATTACAATTTGCACGCTACATATTATTGTCCAGACGCGCGGGCGGCGCCCTTTTGTTTCAGCCCACCTTAATTTTTTTCTGACGAAATGTGTCTCCCTGTGGACACCTAAAGTATACCTAGGAATAAAAGATCACTAATCGTAGTAATTGCTCCACTTATGACTCACATTAATTGCTGAGTCTGTCCAGTGTCTGTGTTTTGATACCAACGTTAACGACCTTGGGACACAGTGATTAGCGTGATTAAATAGAAAGACAATGTGCAGATCATGCAACTTCTCTGTGAGGCTCACAGAGAAGTTGCATGATCTGCACAATGTCTTTCTATTTAATCACGCTAACGGTTGTAATAACTACATTAGTTGCAGGTTCTGTCCATACTCCAGTGCCCATCTTTTGAAAACAGCTTTACAAGCAGTTGTTGACTGTACGGTATGTATTTCCATTTCATCTAACAGACAGATCGAAGCTAACGAAAAAGGAAAAGACCCCCCCCCGGAAAATAAATGTAATTCCAGACATGTTCATTATTAATTCCAGTTTTCCCGCACTAATATATTAAACCATACCTATTTTACTACTTAGATTTCATAGCTATCAAATGGTCAGGTCACCAGGTGTTCTATGACGATCAACAGTACATGTATTTTATAGCCTGCACAATGTTTCCTTCTCTTCAAACGTACCGAATAACAGGTGGGTAAAATTGCAACACCTGTAATTGCATGTCCTGTCCAGTGTCCTTCTCTTCTGAACAGTTCCTGGTCATCCCTTCTATCCCTTATGTCCTGCACAATTTGTTTCCTTTTCTTCAAACATACCGACGAACAGGTGGGTAAAATTGCAACACCTGTAATTGTATGTCCTGGCCTGTCCAGTGTCCTTCTCTTCTGAACAGTTTCTGCTCAAGCAGATAAAGAAATTGAGAAAACTACTTGGACCAAGCTAGGCTTAGACACCAATACTTTAGACCTGTTCGTTACCTGCGATGTTGTTTTTTTTTGTCAAATTTATTTTTGTTAACAGTAAGGCCACACCGACCTAATTTTATGGATGACATCCTCGCGCGCATTGATTTTCGCCTGTTCTCTAAAAAAAAAATCACGTCCACCGAGGCTCTGGCCTGCCTCTAGGCCCGAGTAGTCCATTGTAGTTAGTGACAATACGGAGCCGTGCACCCAGGCTACCGAAGCTCCACGACTCAGTACAGTGCCGATCCATCAAGCAGTCCTCAGATCGAAGGAAGGTGCACAGGAACATCAACCCAGCGGATGGTAAAGATAGGGGAGTGACTGTATAATTTATGTTATACATGAATGTGCACTGTGCCAGTTTGGATGGGCTATATGATAATAACGTAAGTGACTCGCCTGATCCTCGGCGTATGTGTTGTGATTAAAGCGACGGTCACTGAACCCACCGTGCGTGCTTTTTGTCCGTACGTTTTTTTGGAGGCTATAGCCACGTGTGAGGCTATAGCCTAAAAAAAAAACGTACGGACAAAAAGCACGCACGGTGGGTTCAGTGACCGTCTGCTACGTCTGCTACGTTTTTTCTGAAAACGTAGGGAAGGATTGGCGTCGACGCACGTCACTCACACGTCACTCACACGGTTGCGCAAGGTGTAAGAGTGTGGTCTGCACGTTACTTCTGGCCGTGAGCGGTTGCGTGCATTGTACGTTGCGCAAGTGGTAAGTGAGTTGTACGTGCTTACAACGTGCGATCTCTGTGCGATTGCAACTTTACCGTAAGGAGGCCGTACTCACACGTGCTTCTTCCGTACGGCACGTACGGGGCACGCACGTCGCTCGTACTCGCACGCACGGGTGGTGAATCCGCAGACCGCACGTAGAAAAAGTTGTACATGCACTTAACGTTCTACGGCGTGTCTGTGTGCTCCCAAATCCGTAGGATTCCGTACGGAGGTGGTACTCACCACGCACGGATGCCCTACGTTTGCCCACGTTTTTGCACGTAGACAGCACGCAGAAGCACGTACGGCGGGTTGTGACCGTCGCTTAAGCCTTTTCAGTTACCATAACACTGAATAAAACCACCGAGTGGGCGCATGTGTAAATCTCAAAATTAAATTTCCTACCGAAAGCTACGGCCAGCCAGTATGGCACAAAATGTACATGTAGTACATAGGTCCAAATGAGTGAGTATTGACCCAAGGTACGTGTTTGAAACCTCCGTGTGAGGCAATATATCTCCCCTGCTTGTCTGTGAGAAGAAGAAGACGTAGTGGGCCTTTAATTAAACACGCCTCCTGGCGACTTCCCTCTCTCTCTACAACAGCACGTCATCTCAGAGTGGGAAGGACCTAGGCCCTATTTACACCTCATTGGGGAAATGTAAGGCTGTGTGTCAAGAAATACCCCACCTCGTGATTGGTGCGTGCCAAGAATACGGGTCAGCCATAAAGGACATAAAGAAATTCATTATGCCCTAACATCTGCTTGTACTAGATTATCGGAAAAGTAGGTCGCAATGTTTGTCATCTAGTCATTCGTACCAACTAAACAGTGGCTCTCAGCGAAATCTTCGTAAATAAGTTCATTTTCACACTGAGAAAACTGGCTTGTCGAAAGAGGTAACAAAAACAACATTGTAATGTCAATGATTTAACCTTGTAGCGCCAGATTGTCAACATTTTCTCGATGATCAACAACTGTGAACTTTGAACTCTCTTGGCGCTCAGGCAGTCTGCTTGGCGCTGAGTTGTCTGCAACAACCCCGCCCCCTTACGCAGTGAAGTAGTACTAGTGAAGTACCAATTTCATAAGAACCTAGGACGTTTTAGATCCAAAATCATGGCGGTTGCAGCCAGACGAGTTCTTCTGCAGACACTTCGGGGCCGTTGCGGTCCCCTTGAAGGATCCAGACCGTTGTGCACGAGCGGTGTCTGGCAGCAGAAGTTCAACGTTCCTCCCAGCGGGAACGACTTGCCCAGACCCGGCGGTATCGCCTCCATGATGCGTCTACCCGTCCAGAAGGATACACAAGGTGCGTACAGAACTTCCTGACGCTTTATCTTAGGTTTTACTATTGAATGAAGACCTTTATGTACACACATACCCACTGGGTTAAGTACAGGTCACAAAAAAGGATGGAATATAGATAACGTTACATACATACATCGTCAAGTAGCGCAAGCTACAATCACGTAAATTCGGTTTCTTCTCGTTTCTTAGTAATGGCAAAAATGAAAGAACAGATATGTTTCAATACAGAAGGTTTGTTTAAGCTCATTAGAAATATAAATTTACCTGTACAGCTTAGATGTATAAAGAAGGGGAACATAGATTGTATCAGATTATAAAGATCTACTCTCTCTTTGTGGTATAGTTTACATTCTGTTACAAAATGTTTCTCATCTTCGATTCTTCCTAGATCACAGTACCGACCTATTCATTGTTCTAGGGGAGTGCGGTTATGTCTACCGGTTTCGATGTGTAATTTGTGGCAACTAATTCGAAGTTTTGTGACGGCAGTTCTGTGCCGTAAATTACCAATATTCAGGTACTGTTCTTCAGTATAGGTGGATTTGAACAGTCTGTAGGACCTCAGCTTGTTTTTGGCGGTTCCGCCTTTGTAATCATTGTAAATTTCTTTTGAAAAAGTTTGAAGGTAGATGTCTTTCAAACGCTGATTAATGGAATTAGTAATTAGAGAAGTATTTGTGTTGGGTAATAGGGGACAATGCCATATATAGCCAAAACCGCACTCCTCAGACTTCCGAACTCCTGATGCCCAACATTTGGCACCAGCTTTGTCTAGTTCTATTTGACAACAAAGAGCATCTGATAGAAAACTGTCTGCTGATACTTTCTGGCGAATTCTGATAAAGTGTTTGATAGCGTTTAGGGAGGCTTCCACCTGAATGGGAAACCTCCCTAGTTCCGCTCTTG